TCAGAGTGTTATGTTTTCTATTGAGAAAAGATTGCAGATGTCAACCGTTATCGTAATCAAGTCAGGGACACGCAACGGATCTGCCCATTGAAATATCCTTACCACACACGATTTCTTGGCTAACTGGGAGACTTATGGCCAGTCGCGGTCAGTTACACGTGGAAGAAAGAACCGGCTTGAATTTTAGTTATTAATCAAGAGAAGATTGCAGACAAGAAGCCCATCTTTGCAGAGCTCTTACATTCTAGGCCTGTATAAAACGTACATACATACTTTATTTGATGATGTTTTGCTGTTGATGTTGCCATTTTCGGAATTCTTTTTCTCCTTTCAAGGCTAGAGTATAGTAAGAAATTATATTGACGAAATCATTGTTCAAGTGTTATTGTCGTCTTACCTGTTTGGCAAACACTTCCTGTGTATCCTTTCATGCAAATGCACCAATAGCTGTTTTTCTCATAAATTGACAGGCAAGATCCACCGTTCTGGCATGGTCCACTCATGCATGGAGACTGAGAAATAAAATGATATTTAGTAATTGAAGGTATGCAAAGCTAAAGTAAGTTAATCAAAGCCAAGCCAACCCCAATAGACACCATCAGATACGATGAATGACGATGCATATGTGGTTGAAAGCATTCCCGCTGGGAGTGAATTCAGTTTGATTGATGATGAAAAACATGTTGGCAAAAAAATGTCCCAACTTTATTTAGACAAGAAACTGTTAAACCAATATAACTCACGATCTCGTTTCTTTCAGAATTTTGAGGACAATAGTATTCTACCCAATGAAATTTTGCAAACAACTGGAAAAAGAATATATTTTTCTTTAGCCAGAGTTTGTAGAAAAAAAAAATGATGCGCAATTTTCGCCTGATAAAGTTTAAGTGACGGAAACTTCTTGTATGAATGGTTTTTGCTTATGAAAAATTAATGAGACAGGAAGTTAAGATCTTTTTTAGCCTTGTTGTTCGAGCTTCAATGCCTTATCTACTCAGTTCAAGTCTTTTAATAGTGCATGTGTTCTCTAGTAACTAGCGGTTAAATTTGGCCTCGTAAGCTCACTAATCCTTTAAATATATTTTTCGCCATTTCCAACAGGCTCTTTTTGAAGGAGCAAAGATGGGTCCGTAGCTTTTGTCAGAAAATTTGAGGCGACTAGATCTTCCTGTGTCGATTTGTTTCCTTATTTAAATCAGAGAGGGAGTCACCTGTTTGCTAAGTTTTGCAGTGCGACTACTCGGTTCGATTGGAGTTTTGACTTCGTGCTTGTGTTTACTCATATATGTCGGTAAAACGAAAATAAGCCTCTCAAGTGGAGGGTCTTGTTTAACTGTTAGAAACTTTGCCGATGGAAATTTCTATTTCATTTACAAGCTTCAACATTTAGTCTTCACAAGTCCTAGCCCTTGCACGGCCATATCGGTGTTATGACAAAACTGGCGGCTCCTTCTGGTTTTCTTTCTTGTTTTTCTTCTGTCTGAACGAATGCTCCGCTTACCTAGATGCACAAATCCTTTTAAGTCACGATTGTCCCATGTATTTAAATTGTAGGTACAACTTACCGAAAATAAAACCAAACAGTTTTGCCCGAAGCTTTTGCCCGAAGTTTTTGCTAATGAAAAATTTATGAGACAGGGAGTTAAGTTCTTTGTTAGCTTTTGTTGTGCGAGCTTCAATGCCTTACCTACTCAGTTCAAGTCTTAAATAGTGCATGTGTTCTTTAGTAATTGGCGGTTAAATTAAGCCTCTTAAGTTCACTAATCCTTTAAATATATTTTTCGCCATTTTCAACAGGCTCTTTTTGAAGAAGAAAAGATGGGTCCGCAATTTTTGCCGGAAAATTTGAGGCGACTAGATCTTCCGGTGTCGATTTGTTTTCTTATTTAAATGAGAGAGGAAGTCACCTGTTTGCTAAAGTTTTGCATTGCGACTACTCAGTTCGATTGGAGTTTTGACTTCGTGCTTGTGTTCACTCATACATGTCGGTAAAACGAAAATAAGCCTTTCTAACAACATTATTTTTGTAGGAAAAAAAATGAGGGCGCAGTTTTTTTTTGTTGTTTGTTTGTTGTTTGTTTTTGTTTTGTTTTGTTTTTTTCCAGAAAATTTTCAGAAAAGAGATCTTCCTGTGTGGATGTGTTTTGCTTGCTCTCAAATCATGGATCATTTGTATTGTCATTACACATTGCTGCAGAAAAAGTTTGATCCAATGTCTTCCTACACCTTGAAGATAGTAGCTTGCCAAAAAAAGAATTATGAAAATGCATTTCAAAGAGGCTGTCATTGAAGTACTTACCACTACACTGAAGTGATGGAAAGATTGGCTGCTGACGAACTTGTCCGAGTTGTTGTACTTGTCAGATGGGAGCAGTTCACATAACATTGTTCTGCTGATATCATAAAATGCAGCCAGGTTATAGGAGTAACACGACGGGGTGACAACACATGCAAAACCACATTCTTTTCCATCGAGGACATAATCAGTACCAAGACTCGTGATGTTTAGGTACGAGAACTCGTGGGACTTAAAGTTGGCAAAGGCGAAGCCATTGTGAACTCCTCGGCTGATACTTTGACCGCGTGCATTTATGACGTTGGGTGAACCTGTATTGATTTCATCCATCAAATAAATGATTACGTCGTCTCTCAAAAGACTTACCAAAGTTTTGAACTGAGTTAAAAATAAGCGTTGATGTAAAAGAAATGGTGTGCATGCAACGTTACCTTTTGAAGTTGTGACGGCGCTTAATGATATCATCAAAGCCAAAAAGAAGGTAGAACACTGAAAAAGATCCATCCGAAACGTGGATCAGGGCCGCCAAGTTCCGCTGCTAAGACTAACGAAGTGCCACTCGAACCTGTTTAACAGGAGTATTAAAGTGTGTTTTCACTGGTGTGTTTTCTAATTGTCAGCCGCGTAGAGATAACCAATAACCAATCAGCGTGAGGTAACTGTGTAATGAAAAACCATTATTAGCTACCAGTCTGCCTTGGGGAAGTCAATATGTTCCCCATTTTTAAACTGTTTATTTTGATTGTTTTGCACACTCGTTGAAAGTCCACCTTAATATTTTGGTATCGCGCGATCATTTTCTGTATTGCAAAGTGCAGAGTCACCGCAGACTTCCAACATTTGGAAGTACGCTATAATTAATAAATAGTTGTTTGTTTTAGCTGACGTTCGTTGGGAAGGATTGTCTGACGAGACAAAACAATGTCTACGTAGGAGGCGTTTGTCGATGAGAAATATTAACATATTAAATTTAATGATGTCGTTCGAAAAAAATATATCATCAGCTTCCCTTCAAATGCTAAACAACTTAATTAATGTTTTAATGGCAACTCATGCCATGAGAAAACATTGTATGAATGTTTCTCTTATGCCTCCGGTCAATTAACTTACAAAAAAGAAATCTTTAAGCTGATGAAGTAATTGCGTTTCTAAATGATTAGCACCTTCGTATTTTTTAATTTATCATCATTATTATTATTATTATTATTATTATTATTATTAAAGATTCGCACAGCTATTGATGATATTGAAGCTGGTTTCGTCATTGGCTCCTGGCAACAACAAGTTGCCTAGGGAAGCCAAGAAACACCCCTTGTTTGCTTTTTCTCTTCTTTCTACATCTCATACCCTAGCACTTACACATTTCCTTTTTTTCTTCGTTGGGTTTACAAGGCAGCCAGGGTTACCCGGGTAGGCGGGTTACCCTGGCAGGCGGGTTAACTTTTTCCCTTGTAAACATTCCAGGTAGGGTTAACCAGCCTACCCGAGTTAACTTTTCACTTTTTTCCAGACCCTTTTAGTGTAACCGCGCATTAAGTTGTGCCCGGTTGTAGGGTTACCCTACCTGTGAAATTTTGCTTGTAAACCCTGACTATCTTTTGCCCTCCAGCTAGGGTTAGCCCGCTTGCTAGGAAGACGTGTTCAATTCGACAAAAAATTCCGCTTTGAATTTTTGGAAATTTCCAGGCTTAATTATAATGGAACAGCATTTTCTGGAATTTCAATAAAGAGCACAACTTCGCGAGGCATAACGAAAATCTCTAACCGGGAATTCCGTTCCATTTAACTTTCTCCTGAATATCTGAAATTTTTGTTTAAATGGTTCGCATTTCGGAGTGTCGACAATCTTCCGCTCTTTAGGAAACTTTCCCAGAAATTTTATCCCAGTACCATTTATCTTCGTTTCCAAATTTCTGAAATTATTGCTCGAATAGATTTCGCCCTGACAATTAAAAAGTATTTTTAATTTGAAAAAGTTTATCTACATTTTATCGTTAGTTGTGTCATCACCCAACGCTTTTGTCAGTTAGCTTCTGTAGTTCACTGCTGCGAGGAAAGTCTTTCAAACATCACTACAAAATCTGTTTGATTGCATTGTCCAACTGAACGTATACAGCTATATAAGTTGATTTGAGTATTCAGCATTGACTCAGTACACGAGTAAGCAATCTGAAGCAATGCAACGTCAGTTAGGTGCACTTTTTATCGATGACTCAAGAGTAAAGTAGTAAAGTTCTGTGTGTATGATTCATAAATACAGCCGAACCTCAACTAACGGCCATTTGTCTATCACGGACACCACTCTATAACGGCCACTTGTATTTTCTAGACTTGAAGTAGACTGTTGACAGCCCTCTACTTTCTTGTATTTTTATTCAATCGTCGAACGCGCGGATAGAATCGCGAGAAAACTGAACGCTAGCGGGAAACGAGAGACNAATTAAATAAAATGGAAATTTCCAAGTTGGAAAAATTCCACTCCCAGTAATTTTTTTTTTTTTTTTTTTTTCGTCCCGACTGTTCACAGACCTCCCTTTTCTCGTATTTTTATTCGATCGTCGAATGCACGGATAGAATCGCATGTACCCAACGTAAGCGCCAAAAATCTTTCAATTATTCAGATCAATAGTTACAACGAACAGGGACTTTCCCGCATTTTGATTTATTTATACGTCATACTTAAGTAGAACTTCTATCACTATCAATTATGCAAATCGATTAAAATCAGAAGGGAATTCCGCGAATTTTAGTTTACTCTATATTTACACCGTAAAGCCCCGGCCAAACGATCGCAACATTTCAACGCAACATATCGCAACATTGTTGGTAGGAAAATGTTGCTTGCGTTTGGCCACCCTATTGCGACATATTGCGACGTGTTAAGTTTTGTTGGTTCAAATTTGAAAATGATCAAATTTTTCATGCAACATTTGCGGATGTTGCATGACGTTGTAACCGTTTGGCCAGGTCGGTGCAACAATGTTTCGCCCAGGCATGCGCACTTGTTCGAATTTCCATACCCAACACGTCGCAACACGTCGCAACAGGGTGGCCAAACGCGTGCAACATGTTGCGCCCAACAATGCTGCGATATGCTGCGTTCAAATGTTGCGATCGTTTGACCGGTGCTTGCAAATGCTGGGCCACCAAGTTGGGATATGTTGTGTTGAGATGTTGAGATCGTTTGGCCGGGGCTTCAGACCACCTTCAAATGCACGCTCTGATTGCGTGCAACAGCGGTCGACATTTCGCGGGTAACAGCGAACTGTTTCCCGCTTGAGGTCATAGTTTTCGCAATGTTGCCCGCTCATGGCATTTGGTGGTAAACAGTTTTATTGTTAGATGTCATGTGACCATGAACTAGCCAATGAATGGGCGCGTTGTCGCAAAGAAAAATGCCTTACTATATGTACAAACGTACATGTACCACCGAGAAGACAGGAGCAAAATATGACGAAAAGTGAAATGTTTTTGATAAACGTAGAGGCACGTAGTAAAGTGGTAAAGGGCAGTTTCATGGATATGTGATATTTCCTCTCGATGGAAATTGAAACTTAGGGGAAACTACACTGAGGAGCCGAATGTATGCATATTAAGATCAGATTACTAGAAAGCATGGCATATATGATTACTTTTGTTGATGATATAGAAATTCAAAGCACTGCACAAACCTGAAGCAGGCACACAAGAGCATTACTGAATATAACAAAGCGTGCAAACTAAAGAGAGTTGAGGGAAAAGCATTGCACACACCCGATGTTTGTGACGCAAAGTACGTCATACAAAAACATCCCTGAATATAGCAAAGCCGCAAACTTGAAGGGCGTCGAGGGAAAGGCACTGCACAAACCCGGCGTTTGTGAGGCAAAGCACGCATAAAATAATAAACAGTTCTGCAACTACGCAGTAAAAGCGTGAAAATACTACAAGGGCGTAAGGGAAGGGAAAACCGTGAGTAAACTGGACCTGCTGTAGGCGTTTAGTTCAGTAGAAGGAATCAGGGACTGTGCAAGCAACATGGACGAGAACTTGATCATTCGGCATAGGGTTTATCACATAAAGATGAAAATTGCCGAAAGAAATGACAGGCTGCATAAGCACTATAATAAATGGGAAAAAAATAATAATAATAGAGTACAACACATGACATTACGAAGCGGAGGTTCCTTACACGAACTGGGCTGAAATGAGATGCAGAGCTCTTATTTATTTTCCCTTAGTAAGAGACTGGAGTGAATAGCGAAAAACTGGCTGCTTTTCTGGAACTACCGCACGAGGTGTCTTTGGAAAGCATTTTCATAGTGCTNATCACATGAAGATAAAAATTGCCGAAAGAAATGACAGGCTGCATAAGCACTATAATAAATGGGAAAAAAAAAAAAAATAATAATAGAGTACAGCACATGACATTACGAAGCGGAGGTTTCTTACACGAACTGGGCTGATATGAGATGCAGAGCTCTTATTTATTTTCCCTTAGTAAGAGACTGGAGTGAATAGCGAAAAACTGGCTGCTTTTCTGGAACTACCGCACGAGGTGTCTTTGGAAAGCATTTTCATAGTGCTGGGCAGGAAAATTATCGGAAGTTTTCACACTAATCCACGAGAAATGAGCTTTAAAGGTAGAGTTTTTAAATTCCTCCGATTTGAAGAGTGTTTTCGAAAAGCTCCGTTTTCGTGAGGGATTAGTGTGGACTGTAGGCGTAGCCGGAGAAATAAAGCAGCGTCAAACAGGGCCTTAATGAGAAATACTTCGCGGAATATTCATTTGCACACGAACTACTTGTTCTTGAGTTGACGAAGTGGGGAACCCAAGTCGTCTTCCGTTATATTCGCTGTCTATAAGGACAATTAAATCAAGAATGTTTGTGCTATGAAATTTTTTATATCCTTTTTGAGTGTGTTAAAATGTTCTTTTCCTCAGAATACAAGTGATTCTCTATAATAAATTAAGCGTTATGTGGTAGTCAATATTTTAAGGAACTTTTTTTTTTCAAGAATACGACGGCTAGCTGTCACGTATTGGGTGAGCATTGCGCTGATCATCTTCTTTATGAACTGTGACTGTGTACGAATAGAGCACTCCACTGCCGAGAGTCACGATTATACTGCAACGAAAAAAACAAAA